GCGTACAATTACTGAAGATGCGCGCGGACTTTTGTATCTACAATTCCCGAGATCGTGCGTAATGTACTCTCGACATATCGATATTACATATGTGTGAGCTCTGGTATGTGTATATATATATATATATATATATGTTTACATACGTATATATATAATAATGTACAATGAGAAGAATTATAAGAGACAGTACAGTACACAATAATAAATACTATCTGATGCGTGTATAGTTATAGTCGTAAAACATTTTCCTCTTTCTCATCATAATAGTGTATTCGAACATGTGTGTATGTGTATACATGTGGTTATGTATATATACAGATACATAGTCCACAAAATAATTTTTTGTATGTGTAATTAGTTACCTTGTGGAATATGTCCTTATTTCCTTTCCTTTCGTTGCATTGCGTTAACTTGTATATGCAACAACGACAATATGTACGTGTCTGTGTGTATATATATATATATATGATTTATCTTAATAAGGGTATATAAATATAATTATATATTGTGTAAGTTTCACTTTTTTTTTCTTCTTTATCGTAATGCTTCGTTCCTGCGTCGCGTGTTTAAATAATGTAGGCATTTGTTGTATACGTGTTTCTCTGTGTGCAATGGTGTATAGAGTGCAAGGGGAAGGCACTTCCGCTGTTTTGCCGATGTCACACCGAGAACACGGGATTGCGTCTCCTACTTCTTCATTATCCGCGTACAAGACATCCTACATTAATACATATCCTTTAAAAGAATACACTCTCGTCTAGTAAAATATAATGAACATTCCTCTTATGGAAGTACGTAGTAGCTTTGCGATAAAACAATCACAGTTCTAAGGAAACACTTTGCTACATCTGATGCAACAACGGCGACGACCGACCGCGTCGCTTGGACCGATCGCGTCGAGCCCAGAACGCGATTCCGGGTTTTCGGTGTGAATTTAAAAAAAAAAAACCAGCCACCCTCTCGATAATGTACGTATATAATTTGTAGACATCAAGTTCAGGAACCCTAAAAGTGTCGGTCCGTAATCAATATTTCAGGCTCGATCCTATCGACTCTCTCACTATCCTTGTACCTTATGGAGTTGTCGTTACGGAATACGGAACTTTATCGCGCGTTATCGCCGAATCCTCGGCTTGTCCAAGGCCGTTAGGACTTTGCTTATGGATTAACGTATTATATATCGTCATCTTCCCGAGGCCCTTTAGCGCCAATGACGTCACGTGTATGATATCATAGTATCATAAATACTGATCGTGAATTCCAGGTTAACGTCATACAAGGCACTGAAAGGGCTAATCTTATTATACTCCAGTGCCACGCGCATGCGAGAACAGTGTGTGCGTGTACGTGTGTACGTATGTATAAGTGTAATACATTACATATTATCACATAGAATCGCCGCACGCGCGTTTATTGTAAAGATAGAAACAATTTCTTCCCTCCGGGACAGGTGTCTCAATAAATCCCCTTAGTCGCTAATATAAAACGGCGCTCGAAGAGCGTCCTCGTGGCGTTCGTTATGGAAGACCCCATGATACCCTTGAGAATTCTCAATTCTGATTCTAAAGCGAGAACCATTGTCTACTTGCAAATCTTAGTCAAAATCTATTATCCTCAAGGAAAAAAAAATATAACATTATAAATGTTAATTATAGAATACTCCGTCGATTATATAAATGTATAACTTACGAACGTTTAAAAAATATGTAGATTCGCCATTTTCAAAAGAAGGACAACTACAGTTTACATCATGGAAGAGATATTTATAAAATATTATTCAAATCGTGAAAATATGCTATGTTCATCATTTATACAATTATATATAAAGTAAAAAAAAATTATAAGACAGGCAATAACATTAAATCAGTAGGCGAACGAGAGATATCTTTCTCTGAAATCTATAAAAGAGTGTTTTGTGTGTTGTTCTTTAAATTGTGTGCAGCCCGTATAAATGTACGGCTTCAATTGTTTTACATCATTATTATTAATTAAAAATCTATTCTAAAATCATTATAAGACAATCTCATTCTACAATCTTGTGCGTTTTCTGCATAGATGATATTTCATGATCCCTTGGAAGAAGTTGTTTCTAATACCGCGAAAGAATCAAAGGAATTGTGAGGTAATGTACCTTATTCTCCATTCATATCCTCTTGAGCTTTTTTTAAACCAAGAGGAGACATACGACATTGTAATCCGAATAAAATTTCTTAGCAATTACAATTTGCTACGTCATGGCCAGGACTAGGATTAAAACTAAACTTTTACGAGAGAGATTTAAGATACGTATATCGTGAACTTTTCGCGCACGAAGCGTTAAAAGTATTTCACTTGCATACGTGCCGGGATTCTGGGAAATACCTCACCTTGCTCTGTTCTTCCACGTTTTCGTGTACACAAATTCCTACCGCCGCACAATTCGTTCACTCGGTTTTTTTCATGAAAATTATGATACGACCGGCCATTTCGTTTCTTCTCCATTAAACGTGCCAGTGAATGTCCTCTCCATACATGTATGTATGTATGTGTACGTACATAATTATATTTAATATATATAACATAGTATATAAGAATCATATATATTAAATATATCATACATGTACACAAACATATATACATGTGTATGCATTATATATATATATGCATATAACTTTAACATATATAACAAATATCTTTCAATTTTGTCCTGTATATATAAAAAAAAATTATTTACAAACGCATGTATACATGCATATGCATATGTATATATGTTTATTATAACTATACATTTGGACTTAAACAAACTTTCAAATCACTGGCAAACGCGTGAATGCGGACATACGGAAGAGAAGAAAGTAGATGTTAGTGTGAATACATTTCCTTGTATTTTTTCACATACAAATTCCGCTCTCTCAGCTAGCATCGCATAACCGCTTTCCTCTCTTGCCGTTATACGCGCGAATTAATAAAAATATACGCAGTGTCTATCATGTAAGTCGTGTGAGTGTCTTAAGTGTAATGTTTGTGCGGTCGTGTACCACGATGCGCATGTGAACTCGTTTTTTCTTCCCACCCTCGAGAGTGGCAATCGACGAGACGTTTCTCTTCCCGTCTCACCGCCTTCAAGGTTGGACCGATCATTTTTTTTACTCTCCCTCCTCTATCTCCCTTCAATTTCACATAAATACATCCGCATATCTCGCGGATCCGCTGTTTCTCTTTCTCTTTCTCCATTATTTTCTGTACTTCTCTCGTTCGGCTAAATGCATAAGCTCGTAGATCGCAATTGACGAAGTTCACTGTGTGCAACAGACTCCCCCGAATTGAATCCATCAGGACAGAAGAGTTGTGTTCGAGCACGCTTATACTAAAGATACGCCAAGTATAAAACAAATAACTATTCTAAATTCTATACGCATATTACATGACAACTAAGGGCCTACCGGAAGCGTCGCATCTTCCAGTCGAATTTATCGTTGATGTGCAAGGTGTTTTTAGGAAATATGTATATACGTCGCTACATATAGACATAATATGTATCCTTATAGCTAAAAAAGACAGGTTAAGTTAATAAAAATGTTAAAACAATTTTCTTTAAATATTAACAAATATCACGCATAAGCCTCGTATAATTCAAAATATATCATGTGATAACGAAAAAAAAAAACAGTTTTTTGAATGCACATGATGCTAAAATGTTAAAATCAATATTACTTGTGCGAATTCTTTTCATTTAACATTATTTAACTTTCTTCCGAAATGAACAAACAAAATAAAATTTTGAACATATTACTATAATATATAAATAAGCGAATCGTGCTAGTAAAATAATCCAACTTTGGATAATAATTATTTCAATAACGCTAAACGCGCGAATGCTAATTAACACTACGGACTTAACGGCAAGTATCGCATATAACGTGACATAGGCCGAGCGTCGTTTTTTTTTCTTTGTTCCGGACGTTAGACGTTAAAATTTGGACGAATAGCTATAACACTAAAATTTGTGTAATTTCGAAATTAAAATATTGCGACGCCGTTTTTTTTTACGGCGGAAATTGACTTATTTACAATTTAGCCTATTAAAAGAATAAAACGGAGCCACGTAACGACACATAACATTTTCAATAGTTCTCTGCAGTAAAACAACGCTAATTATCGGCATAATTAAAAACTATCTCTATAAAGTATAATCGCAAATCACTATTACTCTAAAAAAAAGGATCAAATAATAAAATAGGTGATTAATGTAATTCGTGACTTCGGCCACGCATAATTTTTCATAAACTCTCTCGTCTTCTCTCGAATGCAATCTGTATCGGCAAGTCAAAATTTCCAGTTAAAATACCCAGTTAAAATATTAAAGTCGAAATTAAATTCGAAGTTTATTTCGACAGAAATAAAATCGGAACGGTAGTCACGTCTCTCTCAGTCATGCAAGTAGGTAGGTAATATGACGGGAAAAAATCCCGTACTTCCTTTTTACCGTTCTCTTCTCAATTGTACGCTTATAACGATCCAAATGGAATCAGGTCAATAAGGCACTGTTCACCGACAATGTCTGACTAGAAAATGAATCTATTTTCGGAACTTGTTTTTGTATATCAGCATCTCTCGTCTCGCAATCGCGCTTAACTGAATATTCCATCCCTCTCGCGAACGAAGACCGATTTCTCGCTTTTTTAGCACCGGCGATTTAGCACCGGCGGAAGATTAATATCTTAGGACTGCACTTTTGTTTTTCTACGTTTTTCATTTCATCGATGTAGTCGAAGATTTAAATACGCGTAATTTTTTAATATCGAATAAAATTAAAGCTAATAAATTGCAATTCGTATTATATTTTGTATATAGTATAAAGAATTGTATATATATATATTATACTCTCTCTTTCTTTCTCTTTTCTCTTTAATACACTTTCATCAGCAAAATATAGAAAAATCAAATAACAACATATACATGACAAGAAGTTCACTAATCTTCACTATGTAATTTATGCCGAAAAGTATAACATTCTAGAACTAATTCGCACTGGGCATTGTAATTATTGTAATTATTGTAAACTAATGTATCAAATATCCATTTAGCTCAATTTTATGTTTTTTACTTCCACAAACGCTACTATTTCTAAACGCGTTTTTCATTTCGGACTGAAACTACAAAACTACAAAAATACAATTGCGAAAGTCTATTCAGAACGTAACAATTTTTACGATTCGTCCTTCATTCCCCGCAATTGAACACTAATCGTAAAGGTACTCTAGAATTATCTAAAATATCACTACCGTGATCGGTAGCAGCAATCATCATCAGCGACTTTCGCGGAATCGTTCGTTCGTTCGTCGCGAGGGAGAGAATGGAAGGTGCCCGAAGGAAAAAGGAACGGCACTTTCGTGAGAAGAGACGAGTCTTCCCGAGCCGGTAGGCAAGGATGTCTTTACGATGTCTTCATCTTCTTGTACGGTTGCATGATCACCCCAGAGCTGACGGGGATCGCTACCTGCGGCTGCGCCGCTATTGTCGCCGGGTTGCCTATCTGCGGTATCTGCGGTACACCTGCGGCCAGTACACTGGCTACTGCAGGTAGAACAGCATATGGATTCTGGACATAGGGATTGGTTTGTACGGTCGCAGCGCCGGGTATCGAGGCCTGGACATATGGATTCGGCAAGATCTGTTGCCTGATCAGAGAATATGGATTTATGGGGGTCGCTGTGGGTGGCGGTCTGGAGTACGCCAAGATACCCGCGGACAGCGGTGAGGTCAAGGCGCCCGGGATACCGGCCAGACTCGGGATGACAGGTCTGGGAGTCGCCGCGGAATTCATGAGATTTTGTTTATTTAGAGCGACGCCAGTGTAATTAAGTGCGAGCTGACCAATGCCGTAAGACTGCGAGACCTGCGAGAGCTTAAGGGCTTTAGCATAGTTTTTCTGGGCGACCTCTTTGGCGAGAGTCGCTGGATCGAGAGGAGCTGGTAATCCAGAGGCCATTCCGAGACTGTTGAGCATATTTAGGCTCGCCATATTGGAAGCAGCGTTATAATTGCCCATAGAGGTGATGTTCGTTATCGATGACATATTTGCCATGGAGGCCATAGAAGCCATCGAGGCCATGTTCACCATGCCAGGCATTGAGGTCAGGCTGGCCATAGAAGTCAATGGACTCATCGCTGGTGATAGCGCCAACTGGTTGATTTGCTGTTGTTGCTGTTGGTGTTGCGATACCTGCTGTTGCTGTTGTTGCTGCTGCAGAGACGATGGGCTCGAATGATTCAATTCGGGGGAGTTACGCGAATTTTCATCATGATTCTGCGTGGTAACCGGTTGCTTGTTATTGCCGTTACTACTGTTACTGTTATTGTCAGCGGTCGGAGGTGGCGGCGGCGGATTGTTGGGATCCATCAGCACGCCATTGTTGGCGTCAGCGCAGTTATTGACTGTTGCGCCAGCGGCTCCCTGGGAGGAGGAGGATTGCACCACTATCGCGTGGTGGTTGCTTTGCACGTTCGGGGGTTGCACGACCGATTGGTTAGAGGTTTGAGTGGGTAGGGGTGGTGTTCCAGTGTACTCACATGACACAGGCACGAAGGGCTGCTGCAGCTGCATTAACTGTTGATAGGTCGTCGCACCGGTAGGCTGATAGACCGGCACGCCGGACTTGTCGGCCGCCGGTCGTTTATACGGAACCATCCCTGGGAAGGCCTGCAAAAAGAATTGCAAAGAGATTCATGATTAGAATGAGTTTGTGACGCGAGCAACGTGGCCACTCGAGCGGAAGCTTCCTCCATGAAAGCCTCGACTCCGTTTCGGCCGGGGATACGATATATTGTTCTCTTTTGCGTGCTCATGAGTTTTCTTGATCCAGCTGTGCAGGGGACGTCGGGTTTGACATTTTCCACGACGAGGCGGTCAAAAGACTAACCTCTTTCGTCCAACACAATCAAATTCAATCGTAATTTGTAATAAATTGCTATTTTAAGATGAGTTGATATCGATGTATTGTTACAATGATTCTTTTGTCTTCTTTGCAAAACAGCAATTAGTCGCATGTACCGCAGCCGGAAGGAATCATATCTACCTCTCAGCGATATCATCACTGTTTTAGAAAGAAACGATCGCTGCTATCTCGTTAAATCTCGATAATGCTCCATTTTAAAATGCTTGCAAATTTAATGATAATTGAAAAAGAATTTTGTCAGTAGAATTTTTATATCTTGCTGTAAGAAATAAATATCTCCTGGATGGGGAGATAAATATTAATCGCGAGTATATAAATGGAATGATACGCACACGAAGAAATGGATCATATGAATTATGATTCAATGTTTAGGTTCTGCACTTACAAAGTTCTCGTAGTAGAACGACCCGACAGACTTCATGTCCATCTGCAACAAAGACAGGATCGGTTTCAACTAATTTCGAGGACGAGGCGCGTTGCGTCTGTATAATTGGATTTTCGAGACGGGAAACGAGAGAGGGTCGTGTCTCAAAGAAACGGGGGAGGGTAGACGGCGGTGGCGCGGTGGAGAAGGGTGTTGGACTGTGGTAGTGTGTAAAAGTTGTGCCGATGACGCAGCTTGCGGCGACGTTCCCAAACGACGACGTTTCGTTGTTGGATAACTGCAAAATGTTTCGTTCGTTCTTTCTTTCTTTCTTTCTTTTACACTTTTCCTCTGTTTCTACTATTGGGAGCGTGTCAGAAAAACCAGCCATTGTTAGTATCGAGGACCGTTGCGCGGCTCGATTAAAGAGAGACCATCGCCCCTTATATTAATAAACGATCAAAATACCGATCGGAAAACTGCACTGTCGCCTTCCTATTAAGAATATTGCGAGAGCGAAGAAGCAGGAATCGCGCTGTAACAAAGTTGTCGATGCTAATGTCCGATCTGAAAGCTTTTCGTTCATTTTCGCGAGATAAATGTGAAGACAAATGAATCTTTCCTCCTTTGCGAGCAAAACGGAGAGATTGAAGAGAAAGATATAAAGAGAAAGATAGAGAAAAAGAGAAAAAGAAAGAGCAAGGTCGACAAGAGAGATATTAATATAAAAGGCGCAGTTGGGCTTGGCTCGGAGAACAAAAGGCTTCGCGATACCGACGTGATGCGAAAGTTGCACAACACGGATTCACGAAAGCTGATATAGGCTTGCGGTGATACTTGGTGAGCGAGCACTTTGGTAAGTCACCTGCGCGAAACAGACGCGTGCGCAACAAAGAGGGGAAAGCCAAATCAAAATCTCTATCGAGGTGTAAAACACGTTCGAGTTAGAAGCTGCGGTAGACGAGATGCAAAAGCTCAGAAGCTGACTTATATAGTAAAGTGGCCGGGGTGAAACATATTGTCACAGCGCCACAGATACATACATATATGTATATGCGTGTTAACACGTGTTCCCGCGGTTTGCTCACCAACGAAACACTCGGAGTCGTAACGACGCACGGATATAATTTTCAAAAATCGCGGCTTCGTTTGCGTATGAACGACTCCGAACTCGCCTTTGACCGCCGTATGCGTTCACGATTAACAAAATCAATTCGTAATTGCGAACGTCGCCAGTAAGCGAGTGCGCGAAAGCGAATTCAGCGTCACACTGCGCGTTTTTCTTTGCTTAAGAATGTGCAACCATTCGCAGCTATATCACGCAAAAGGCAACGTGCCTTTCAACTCTTTATCATTCGTATCGAATGTTGCTGTCTACTAAGCCTGCTGAAAATATATAGCATTGTAGCAAAAGTTTTCACCGAATTTTTCGTTTCTCCGTATTAGAATATATTGTAAAACAAAAGCGCTTTAGAATCAATGCGCTTTAAAATTAATACATTTTACAAAGTAAAATATAGCATTATTTTTTTTAATAAATTTAGAGCCGGCTAATCTGACATAATTTAAAAAAATTGAGTATTTCTATCCAATTATGACATATATAACTCAAGTCATAAAAATATTCATTTAAAGTTTGCTAGAAAAAATATTTCGTTATCTTTTTGTACTACAGAAAACTTTCGGCTTCAAATTCATCAAAGAAAATCCGTAATTCCCATATCTTCTAATACATCTTGTATGCGTACAGCGAAAATGCATTCGCATTTGGCTGTCTCAGTGTTATCGCGTTTCAAAATTTTTGTTTTGAAATATTGATACATTTCTGCAACAAGAGTTTGCATTCTTATGAATTTATATGGATTCTATGCAGGCACTTCTTCTTTCTCTTCGCGTATTGAAAACTCGCGTACCGAAAATACCGAGAAGTTATGCGCGCTTTCTGAAGGAAGCCTCTATTTGTACAGCGAAAATCCATTTTCGTCCTGGCGCACGGAGTTAGAAAGTTGCACATGGATAAAATTACGTTTCAAACCCGAACAAATCTGTCGATCGCGCTTCAGATGCTGATTGACAGTATTAGCGACGGAGAGATAGAGAGAAAGAGCGAGATACGTACGTGATATATATATAAATATATATATATAAAGACAGAAGTAAAAGAAAAGGTAGTATTAAAAAAAGTAGCGAGTGTATGTAAGCGATCTACAGTGCTCTTTAGCAGACTCGACGTGACTCTAACGAAGACTAGGAAAGCCATCACGCGGACGGCAAATTTCGAAACGCGTCACGGCGATGAGGGCCCGCTCGACGATCCTCCGCGACAAGAACTGCCAAAACTTCGGTCATCGTCCAGAGCGTCGAGGGGATGACGTTACGTCCACCATCACCTCGATAGTCGCTTAAGCACAACATGCATCATCGGCGCAAGCTCAGAATTTACACAGATCTAACGCTCCGTAGACGCAGCACCGCGGTATGCAGGGTTCGCAGCATACCGCGAAAGTGCGAGCCTTTAAGGGCCTCACGACTCGCCCTCTTTACTCTCTTTTCCGTTTCGTTTCGTGAGGGGGTCCTGACATACGGAGATTAGAGTCGACGGTTTCCTTACCGAGCTCGCATCAAAACACGCGCGCACTTCCGCGCATCGATACTCGCGATATTTCTTTACATTCACAAGAGTTCTTTTCCATTTTATTAATCCTTTAACGTTGAGAGATCTCCAGTTCTTTACTCCTTTCAAGACTTTTTAATTGCTAAGCAATTCATTTTTTTTTTTTTTCATTGCAAATCATATCGTTGCTTCATTTTTTTTTCTTTTTCAAATACCAACATAATTCTGATTAAATGTCTCGGATAAATATTTTTTGTTAAAACAAGTAATCAATTATCCAAAGAGTATGCTGATACAATAAGAAAGCCACTATTCACACACTCGCATAAAATATGATAAGGAAGTAGAGAGAGATAACGCACATCGCGATCGTGTAGTTTTTGTCAAACATTAAAGGATTAAAGATAGACATATTTTTTGAAGTATATCATTTGCAATCTAATTGAAATTTTCCTCAAGTGTTTCAACAGTGCGTGCGTGTCTCGAAATGTAAGCGCGACCAACGAGCGGATGACAATCGTGATGAAAAGTGTACTCCTTTCACGCGATCGTAGATCCGCTAATTTCATTGGTCGGGGAATCGCCAAGGGGTAAATGTATGTTAAATCATATACTCGCTAGCCACGCTTAATGTTCCTCCGCATGGATAAAACTTGGATGGAATATGCACTTTGTGCACCCCCTTACAGAGAGGGATCTCTTTAAAATTCGTAACAATATAAACACGTGGCTAACGATTAAAAAAAAAAGTAGTAAGCGATCTATAAATACATTACGAGGCGTAAGCTCTGATACGAACAACATTGCAACGAACGACAGTGGAAAGCGAAACCAAGAGAAAAAAAAAAGATAGTTTCTAGAATCTTTTACGCGATTGTCTTTGGACAGAAATCGATGCGATGTCATGTACAACCCGAGAACGATACGAGACTAAACGTTTGAAATATAAGCATCACAGTAGAACGTTACAACTTTTATATCTTGCAAATCCTTTCGTGCCGACTTGTACTAAGTAAATTTAGGAAAATCTCTTTAATCAAAAAGGATTTCACTCGCGTAGTCATAAGTGACGTTTTGTTAATACTATAGACTTGTTTTTCAAACAAATTCATTTTTCGTTATCACGATTATTCATCGCGTTGCAGCACAAAGGTTTCAATCGTAATCACGCCGTATGTGACGATATCGTGAAGGTTTCTACAGTAATATTCTACAGGATGACACCGACATTAGAGGGGTTTCAATAATGATACCATATACAAGGCTCATAGAGGTTTCAGTTATGGCGCCGTATGTGACGTTATTGGTATTCTAGTACGTTTCAATCACAACACCATGTTGGCAGAAATGCGACGTCTCGTATCGTTAGGTTTACACGCTGTCGGCTGTAAGGTTTCACCGAAACGTTTCCGTTCTTTTCTTTCTATTCGATAGAGAAACAGCGGGACTCTTGTTAGAAATAAAAATGGAAGACAGGAGCTAGAGCTCTAAGCGCGCTCGGCAGTGTATTCACAATCGCAATAACTGTACTCATAACTTAAAGATACGACTACGTGGAATCTCTGGAAAATGGCCTGGAACCGTTTCGTCGCGGCCGCCTAAACTTTACCACGACGCAAACTCCGTAGCTTGTAGCACGAGACCGGCAGAAGCAAGGTCGATTACATTTACGACATAGAATGTCCGTCTAAACCTGTCCATTTGCAAAGTTTCGCGAATCGAGTACGAGTATCAGCAAGTACGAGCAAACACCAGTTGGAAATTCTACAAGATTATCACGAGATTATATAACTACCAGGGATTAATTTCTTGCATCCTGATTAACGATGTTGAAAATTTGTCAATATCGTAATTAGATAAACTAAACTAGCGACTAATGATAAACATAGCCGATATCTCTGACGTTCACGTAATCACGTAATATGCATTTAAAGTATCGTCAACATATTTTGCTGTATTGTAAATTTCTCGCTGATCTAAATATTTTCTTTTATGTCACGAAAATTTGGAAAAACATACGATATGCGCGTGTCAAAGGTTCTCGCGAAAACAGCCGCGAAAATAGATTGTCGAGGCCACTTTGCCAGAGTCCAGCTACGAAAAAAAGGAAAGTGTACTCCATGCATAAGCCGTGGTACCATTAGCAGATCATCATTGGAGTCGCGCATCCGCTTCTTGCCGAGCTCGATGCTCGCCATACCGGCGCTCTGAAGTCCTCCGGGCATCGCAGCTGCCGGCACTCCTGATACTCCGCCAGCCAACGTACTCATTCCCGTCACGTTCGTCGGCATCGTCGCCGTCTGCGTTTTTTCGTATCGTTTCGTTTCGCATTTATTATATATTTTTTTTTTTTCATTTTCACACGTTCGTTCGGTTTTTCCGATTTCACGTTTTTTTTTTTTTTTGAACATTTTTATACGTGTACACAGATTTCAGGTTTTTACAGCCGCATACACAGTTTTTCCGTACGTTGCCGTGCGTCGACCACATCCGTTTCCGTTTCGGCATTCCCGAGACATTTCCCAATCGAGACATTTTTTTTCATTTTTCATGTGTTAGCATATTTATACATATTTTGTTGCGTGTGTATCGTTGCGGCGGTCGTAGCGATGGTGGCATATACATTTTTCCGTACATTTTCGGCACATGCGTGCGGTGGCATCGGTCGATCGTGCGTATTATTTACGTTGGTTTTTATTATTTGCGTTGATACAGTTTTTTTTTTTTTTTCCGAGTTTCGGTCAGCAATATTTCGCAGGCGTTAATTGGCAGGTAGCGAAGCGCACGAAGGTATTGTCAGCAAGCATGTAGAAGCATCGTCAGGCGGAAGAGGGCAAGATAAAAATCAAAAAAAGAAAAACAGACCAGTTGAGGCTAAGGCAAGAAACGACAGTCGCGTATAATATTCTTTTTGACTTATGTAAAGAGAAAAAAAAAGAAACGAAAGAACACATACTCTTGCGCGTGCGTGTATGCGTGTATACGTGTGTGCGTATGCGTGTAGATATATGTCCGCGTACAAGTGTAACACGCTTGCGAGTTCACGCGTTACGCCGTGGCCCGCTATATCGCGTTTATCAAGCTACTTCTCTCTCGTCCTTCGTGAGCCGAAAACGTGCGCGCACACACAGAGGACAACACACGCGTAACGCACACACGCGCCACACGCATATACGCGCGCGAGATTTACAATATTTCTGCGTGGCTCGTGCGATCACGCGTAAGACGATACGTCCGCCAATACGTTATATCCACCGCGTATATAAATATACACCGCTCGAGTTACTCGCGAGTGTATCTCCGAATTACGTAACTGCTCCCGTTTATCACGTCGTTCAATCGCTTATCGCACGGATATCGTTCTCTTCTTTATCATTTTAATTTTCTACTTGTCTTTCTAATGCAAAACACGTCCGAACAAATTTCCAAGGTATAGCCAAGGATAGAAATATAAATTAGATGCAGATTTTTATGCGCGACCCAGATATCTTTATACGTTTCGAGGAACGTTTCGAAACTTCTGCGAGTGGAACGGCGAACGATTTGAATCCGACGCGCGATCGCAACCTTCTTCGTCCGATAAACGCGGCTATAACGATCACAAGTCCGATTAAACATTTATATTATTCTCAAAATTTTAAAAAGATACTTTTTCTTTTCATAAATCGTTGTAATATCCATTTTAGTACATAAAACCACGCTTCGTGTCAAAACACGATGGACTTCTAACGATCGGTAAGTTAAGACTTGCTTAATACATGCGTATTTTAGCTAAATAACGCATTTTTTCATTTTCTTTCCACGTTTATCGGCCTTCCACCGCGTTACTCTTTTAAAATGCATGTACTAACGCGACGACTCGCAGAAGGCAAGTTTCTACGAGACAGACGCGAGTATAAACACCACCGATTAATAGTAATAGCAATAATAATATGATAATGCTGCTGATAATAATAATAATGATAATAATAATAATTATAGCACGTTAGATAGGACCAACGGACGTAGCTGGCGTCAGCGTCAATCTGCGGGCTAATTGGCACTAATTCGTTATTTAATCGACATTAAGGAGAAAGACAGACAGAGAAGTGATATATCTATTTGGCCGAGCACATTATCTATATAGTGACTAAAAGAAAAGCGCAAATTTTAATAATACTGAAAAATCAGAATCGAACATAGAGCATAGGGAAGCACGTAGATAAAGGGACGCGTAGTACGAAAGAGAACCGGTCCCACTTCATCGTCCATCGACATCGGGCTTTCGGCTGGCGTTTCTGACTGCTGCAACACCTGCAATAATCGAGGCACTCTCTCGAAGTTGATTAGTTTTGCGTCTCTGCCTCTCATAATCTATATTTGCGTGTGGACATTCATGTACAAGATATAGGTGTATATATATATATACACACATATATATATATATATACACACACACACACACACACATATATGTGATATATGACTCTTTGGCTTCTCGCTCCACTTTTCTCTCCCGCTTTGCGTCAGCATCCATTCGCTCTTCCCTTTCGGCGTCTCCCTTGCGAAATGGAGAAGGCGATCGAGAGAGAAAGAGAAAGAGAGAGAAAGAAAGAGATAAAATTATACATATATATATATATATAAATAGTAAGGAAGTGGAAAAAGTTACAGAGAAATGCGTGCAAGAGACTATGAATGAAGCAAAAAAGGAGGGTCATTTTTTTTTTAGGACCCGTACTTCTCGTCTTTCTATCTTTACAATACCTGAAAAATTTACGAAAGAGACATTGATTTAGTTTATCAGTTAATTTACACCATCTCTCGCGAACATCCAAGTGTACGGTGTTCTCTTGTTCAAGTCTTCTTATTCAAGAACTCGCTGTTGTCGTCGGCATCTTCTTTAAGGAACAGGATAACGGTGTGTCGTGATAGTATTTCTGGTATATGTCTGTATAATGTGTGTTTATATGTGTATGTGTGACAGTGTGCATGCGCGTGTATATTTACATGTGCGATAATGATTTTGTTTTGTACAGATCGAGAATGCGCGAGCTATAGTGTAGCTCGCACGTGTCGTATGCGGTTTCAGTGATAGATCTGCACTCTTACGTGCTTGGGAACTTCGTGTCGTACACTTGGTAAACATTCAGGTATGGCATACCAATTCCGAAGAGTGCATCACGTCGCGACGATGCGGTTTAACATGGCCTTCGTTGGCGACGTCGTCAGTATTAGCATATCAAGGTTGATTGCAAGAGTTAATTGCAACTCATCATGATACATTATTAAAATATTTCGTATCGAAAGAATTTTAGAGCATACAAACAATTTGTACCAATCGAGATAACGAAACATTTTTTATCATATGTGTTTTTCTGTGCTAACATGTAATTTGTTATTGAGGTAACGATCTTGTTAAATTTTAACAAACAAAAGTAAGCCATAGCTATACGTATAATACTAATGTCCTTTTTTAAATTTCAGAATTACTAATTTCATAGATCTTTAACCTTTCGGAACTGATTGTATAAAACCCACTCATATTACAAATCTTTGTAAAAAAATTCAAACAAAAAAATTTTCTTGATATTACATTTACAAATATGGATTATTCTTATTAAGTCATTCATTCTTGTTATTTTGTCCCCTTAAAATTAATTAATGCTTTTTAATTAACATATATTAAATAGATCTCACAATGTAGTGTCAGTGACTGTTGTATCTATAATAAGCCATTGCCTAAGATTTAAAACTTAGATAATGGCTTATTGTAGAAAGCCTATATTTTGACGTCAGTTCCGGTAGGTTAAAGTCATAGGATATGTAGAAACTTTATCGAATTTAAAAACTAGAAACAAAACCTGCAGTTTAAATTTTCTCACGAGACGTCGAACCATCGATGGGCCATCTGAAAAAGGGAATAAAACTGAGAAAACTGGTAAAACAAACATTCCCCCCGTATCGTGGTCGTGTTTCGTTTTCTAAAAGATTCACGTCGGTCCGTAACCCCTGAGGCAAATTCGGACGGAGGTGATTCCGTCGGTACGCGGTATGCACCCTTGGGAAATTGAAAACCACTTTTAGAGAATGAGACTTCCCTGCCAACAAGCTGGTCTGCCGCAATCATCCATGTGAGACTTTTCCTCCATTGTGTCCGGGTGTGGCTGCAGATCTTCCGCGCGACGTCGCTGAAAGTCTTTCTCGCTCTTTCTCTCTCTTTTACTCCAGCTTTTATTTTTCTCTAACCGTTACTTTTCGGACTGGTTTTTCCCCCAGATAATGAACACGATCGTGTCCCGGAGACAAGTTCACGGATTGAAAACACGATGATTGAGTCTGCAGGAAACGGGGTATGTCCACCCCGCGCTGTTTACAAATACGTAATGACTTCGAAACGGTCGTCCAGTTGCACTTCGCACTAAACACGTTTGCAAATAATCCTGATCCAACCAATTATTCGTTCATTAACCGGATTGAACTCGTTAGTCAAATCGTTAACCTCCGACCCAATTTTCAACGATACGAATAATCCTCTTTTTAATTGAAATAATAATGCTATAATAAAAAAACGACAACAAGAGACGTATTTCCAGGTCAAAATCGGTTGAAGGACAACGACGGAGGAACGATCTTCTAATTTAGATCCTGCTTAATTGAATTAATCGAAAGAGCGAGTACGTCGCTAACAATTCTTCGTGTCATTCCGTGACTGCGAAAATTACACAATCTTCTCGTGCTTGATGCTAACGCGATCCCGCGCGATTGCGAAAATTAAGAGACAGATTTGACAACGGAAGTGGACAAAGACATTTTATCGCCTGGCCCACACACCTCCCAACAAACCCGTCGTATCTGTTCGTTCCTTCTACTGGGTTTTTTTTTTTTTTTCGTTGTTTTCTATGTATCTTTCGGGGACTCTTAGTGTAGCGTTTTTGTGTGGGGCAGCAAAAACAGCAGCGGGGTTGATAGCCGGGTTTCGTGCAGCACAGCTTGTCAGCAGGGTGGTGTACGTGTCATTCGTAAGAGATATCTTTTCTCAACTACATCTTATTTACAAGAACGTGATCACGTTCCATTTCCATTTCCTTGTTTTTTCTTCAATTCAATATCCAATTGGATCCAAAAATTCCTCCATTAACATATAAACAATACATGATTTGTATATGAACGGTGCATTAATAAATTCATTGAACATTGTATAGTAAGACTTGATACAAATTGTATAATTTTATATAAGTATTTCGTATTTATATAAGATTATCTAGTTATATTGGCCAATTTAAAATGCTATAATGTATTAATTTGTATGTTCACTTCG